CAGCTTAGGCATTGCCTTCCTCTGGAATGGAGCCCTCAATGCCAGGTTCGGTGTTTTCCTATGGCATCCCAGATGCACTGCCACACTCTCCTAGTCTGCATCTGCCCCGGACAGAACTCTGTGAAGGCTGGAACTTCTAGTGAGATACATGCAGCTGGGAGATGCTGTTCCTAACAGGATTCCTTTGTTTCACCTCTACCACAATGCTAAGAGATGGGGACTAACCACTCTTAAAGATGAAAGATGCAGGGAGGTGAAGTATCCCCTCTGAAATCACTACAATAGGGAGGGGGTTGAGCAAGCACTGGAGGTGCATTCATCAAATTCTAGACAGGTGCTACTCCGACCCCTGATGCAGGGGTGGCCCACAAACCAGGAGGAAATGGCAGGCACAAACCAATTCTGTTAAAATCCTTTTTCTCTATGGGAGGAGGCTGATGACTGTTGAAACACAGGAGTCCCAGAAACACAATTTCAAAGCCATCAATTTGAAAATGTAAATAGTTGTAAAGCCAGACACTCACTGTACCAGGCACCTGATAAGAATTATTTTTTTGGATCCCCAACAATTCTTTATAGAATTGCTGCACAACAGAGGTACAGCCATTATCCTCATTTTACAGGTGAGAAAACCAAGGCTCAGCTTTCAATCATGTTGCTCAAGATCACGTGTATAGGAAGCAGGAGCATCAAGGGCACAGCAAACTTTCTAAGTACCACCCCTGCCCGGCTCTATGCTTTGTGTGTTTTATTACAGAGGCCGTGTTTTAAATCACAATCATGTAAAAGTAAAGAATGTACTCCCCCATCTTCAAGTCAAACTGGGAGGCTAACCTGAGCCTCTGTCTGGAACTGTCATCACTGTGGCCTTCCTTCCTCCTTCCTGACCATTCCCCACCAGGAATGATAGCAAATACCTTCTGCCTCATCCCTCACATCCCTCAGAGGCCTGCACACAAAGCATCATTTGTGAGGTTTGGGAAAAAGAGGTCTTCATTGATCAAACAGGAGACGCACCATCTACCAAGAGTGGCCTGGCAGTGGCTACCAGATGTGGAATAGAAGAGGAAATTGAGAAACATCTCTTGAACTAAAGCGAAGTCAAGAGAATGAAAGGAGATAGCTAGTAGGCAATCTGGCCATGTTTTGGGATTTTCTAGATGCCAGCTAACATGATCATTCTCTCCAAGAAGAAACTAGGTCTATGCCAATATCCTTGGCTATTCTAACTTACCTCATATCAATGTTTGCTTCAATGAGAGTAAGAATTTTATAAGAAGGCAGAGGGTGGGATAAAAATGATGATGGGCTAGAAACTGGACATGGGAGCAGGTGGCAGGGTCTTTAAGGAAGGCAGAGTGCTGTTAGCAAATAGCAAGCATGTCCTAGAAGAGCAGGAGGACCAGAATAGGTCTTTACCCCATCATCTTTTTTTTTTTTCCCCAAATGAGAAGACTAGGTTATAATTTGTGTTTCTTTTTTGTGCAGCAACTTGAGTGTCATAAAAATGGTTAAAAAGTCTTCCTATGGTAGCTTTTTCTAAACTTCTATGAACATCTGCCACATTCATTTGAAGTTTAAAAAATTCTGGCACATATGCAAAGGCATAATAAGGTGCCTATAGCTTTCAAGAAAAAAATAACAAGACAGTCAAAAATAAGCCTTTTGCTGAATTGCCAGTAAGAAAACTAGTGTATGAGAGGAGACGGGCCTTCCCAAGCTCCTTCCTTAAAGAGCTTTCTTTTGGCCCCCGGCACCAGCTCCTCCCCAAGTATTATAGCTGCAATTCCTGGAAGACATCTCAGGGGAAGCACATCTCTTGCCAGAAAGGTATAACAGAACCAGATAAACCCAATCAAAAAGCATGACTACAGCGCAGGAGTCCGAGCTGAAATCCAAGGGAGGCCTTTAGGAGGCTAAGTCCCCAGACTCCTCGCTGAGGGCTGCCCGCCATGCCCGGGAGATGCTACTTTGTTAGGAAAGTGGCCTAGTTGCCTCAAGAGTGGGGTGACCCCTATTTTTGTTTTTCTTTTAATGCTGGCCACACAGGAGTTCAGAATGGCAAACCTCTCTTCAACTTCAATCAACAAGACTATGATTGATCATGGCCACTGTTTCCTGAATGTTCTCACTGAGCCCTTTGAAGGCTGACAGAGTGAACTGTGCCCACCCACTCAGGTGTAGCGCTGTCTCAAGTTGTAGCTTCAAAATATGTGCAAATTTTGCATTGTGTATTTTATTACAAAGGCTGAGTTTTAAATCACATCATGCAAAAGTAAGGAATGTACTGCCCCATCGTCAAGTCAAACTGGGATCCTGGGATCCCTGAAAACAATGATGCCCATTGGCGGGGTGCTTAGATGTGACCTCTACCCGGCTTTGCCAGCACTCACTCCATCCTTCTTTCCAGACATCTGCTTGGCACTGAGGATACCACAGTGAATGCTCCCCAAGAACTCATGCTCAAAGGGATGATGGAGAGGGGCAGGGAAGCAAGAGCTGTCTCTGGACCAAAAGGAACTGTAGGAACAGGAAGACATCTCAGATGAGATGAAGAAGGGCAGGACTTGCGGACAGAGATGCAGGAAGGTGGGTGTGCTTGGTGTCCGTGAGCATGGCTAAAAAGGGACAGTGAGAGGTCATAGGCTCCGGCAGAGGAGACTGAGTACAGCCTGGGGCGGTGTGGAGGCAGACTGGAGAGTGAGCTGCCCACTAAACGTAGGGGGAATTGACTGAATTTTGTATTTGCCTTCATCATTCATCATCTCCACATATCCAGGACAAGGCAAATTATTTGGAACACAAGAGACCTTTACTTTGCTCATTATATAAATGAATAAGGTTTTAGAAGAATACAAGAAAGCAAAGAAAAATGTCAAAGAAGGTTGTGAAGAAGGAACAGGGCAAGAGAGTCCCGGGGCTCGGTGATTACTTAGCGAGGAAGACAAGCACTAGCCAAGCTCAGCATGTCCCACTTTGGTTCCTCTGCAGTCAGTGGTGCCATCACAGGGACTGGGAATACTGGAAGGTGAGGGGTATGAGAGTGTTTGAGTATGTGTGTGTGTTTGTGTTTGAGAGAGAGAGAGAGAGAGAGAGAGAGAGAGAGAGAGAAAGAGAGAGAGAGAGAAAGAGGGGCGGGGGGAGGGAGGGAGAGAGAGAGACTGGGTAAAACTGCTTTTGAGACATCTGTAGTACATCTAGGTGAAGTTCAATTGGCACTTGAAACTCTGGACTGGAAGTTCAGAGAGAGGCATGCCAGTGTTAGAATTACAGCTGATTCTAACATTGCCTTGGGAGCTGAAGCAAAAAGCCTTAAACAAGATGACTAGAGGGCATGGAGAGAAGAAAAGCCAGCCAAGACTAGAAACTTGGACAATGCTGAAGGTAAAGGGACATAAAAAGGAGTCTGCAAAAGCCTGTGCTGGAGCATTCTGGAAGGCAGCAGGCGAGGCAGAAAGAGCTGTGGCCTCAGAGAGACCAAATGGTCCTTCGTGTTTCAAACTCTGTAGCAACTGGCATGAAATTGGCCTATTAGAAAGTATTCACTTTTAATTTTTCATAGCAGAGCTTTGAATACACTCCCAGACTTGACAAACAAAGGTAAAACACAGAAGTCTCTACAATGTGATCTAAATACACCCTCCAAGATAGACCATAAACTGTGTACTGTATGTGCTCAGGGCTGGGTGATGACAAGGAGGAACTGTTAACAGAATGCAGGAGCCACATGGCCGTCCTGTCAAATTAGAAATTTGAGCAGATTTCTGTGGTCTATTTTGATCAAGATTCTCAATGTCAAACAAACAGGTTTTTCGATAACCAACTTGTTTCATTTTCGTCAGCACAATAGCACAGTGTGCAACAGTTAGTGAAGAAGCAGGTGGTCCTCGTCGACGTGGAATGAAGGGAACAGAAGAGGAGAAGTAGCACTTCCTTTGAGACATGCAAAGCATCATCACAGACGGACGTGGCTTTAGATTTTCCCTCTGAGCGCTTATCTCCCGTGCAAAACAGGCAAGCTCTCTACCTCCCGCCTCCCCCCTTTCTTCGAGTACAAAATTCAGCTCTCTCCTGGGGAGGGAAAAGCTTAGGGTTCATGTCTGTAAACCAATGGCACTTACAAAAGCACAGAAACGTCCTTGAAAAGAAGTGCTATCTAATTGGGACAGCCAGGCAGGCAGAAAGCAATCTGGCATCCAATTCATAGCTTTGACCAAGCATTTCTACTTTAGGGTTCCATGCTAAGGAAATAAGTAAAAATGCAGATAAAGCCTTCTGCAAAAAGATGTTCACTGAAATGCTATTTATAATGGTGAAAAATTATAAACAACTTAAGTGTCCAACAATAAGAAAATGGCTATGTTGTGGTATATCCAAACCGATGTGGAATGGCAGGGAGCAAAATAAAAATTATTATTACCCAGAGTGGGTAAAAATGTGGAGCGATCCCCCCTGCCAAAATATTAAGTGAAACAGACATATAATGATATGTACACATAACACATCAGTTATGTGCATTTATGCAAAATATATATTCATAGAATAAAGAAGAGGAGGAAGACTGGTAAAATGCTAACAGTGGCAGAATCTGAAATAATGAGTTGTAGATCATTTTCTTTTACCTCCTCATACTTCCACAGACTTTTAGTACCACAATTTCTACAATGACAAATATACCACCATTACAATGACTTCGAGTAAACGTCCTTTGGAGCATAGGGTTAATTGCTTGCCCTCCTTTCAAGTCCTTTCTGCCCGCCCCTTTGACACTCAGCACTCCCCCATGAAAATGGACAATCTCCAAGCAGCGGGAGAAACCTTGCAAACCAGGGCCCACGGGACGTGGGCGGGGCTGAGTGCTGGCTCTGCGCCTGCGCCGGGGCCGTGGCTTCCACGCGCTCCCCCGTGGACTGTGCATCCGAGGCCGCCACGTTGCCACTGCCGCAGAGCGAGGCAAACCCGCAAAGAGAGGGATCTGGGGAGGAAAGGAGCCAACTTACCTCCATTAAACTTAAATGGATTCCTATGAGGTAGGGCATGGGAGCACTGTGAAGAGAAACAGAGACACACAGCTGCTTTAATGTCTGTTGCTTCCGACAGAAAATTACAGATGGTTCACTATTTGGAGAAAAACTGTTTTAATAAACGTATGCACAGTTACATTTCCTTTCACAACAAAAATCCTAATATGACATTTTGTTCCCAAGCCTAGAAACTTCCTAAGAATTTCAAAAGGCGGGCAGCACCGGAAACAGCTTGCCTGGCGCCAGCCAGGAAGAGCCCCACCTTGGCGTGGGGCCCTAAATTGCAGCTATGCCAGTGCACAGCCTCAATGGCCTTATCTTTAAAATGGGAGGAATCCTGCTTGTTATCAGAATGAGAGAACATAGACGGCCAGTGATTAGCTCTGGCCAAATGGGGATTATTAGTGCCATGATTACAACAGAAAAAAACAAAATCATTCCAAGAATGATTTTTTAGTTGTTGCCTTCTGCCATCAAGAGTTGGGCCAAGATTGTCCCTTCTGACTGCAGGCGGTGGCCAGCAAGCCAATCTGCCCCCTTGCCCAGGGATAATTTGATGGCAGGACAGTTCCTGAAGCCCCTTCCATTGCTTTCCTCACAGGGCAGTAGGCCCCGAGTGACTGACTCAGAGAAGAGAACCTGACTCCAAAGGTTTTCAAACCTGGGCATTGTGGATTGACCTCCTTGTTTCAGGGATCTGTGTGCCTGCGTGCCAGCAGGATCACCCCGAGACTACTTACCAGCCACGTAGGAGGAGCTAGGCATTGCACCAGGGACTTTTTCTTTTTCACGTTTAGAAAACATTTATTGAAATTGTACCTTTTGCCTAGAGGAACACCAATATGAATGAAATATCATTCCAGCTCATCAGGAGCATTTGCTTTAACTGAAAATTTAATTGATATGGACATGATTTCAGCTAATAAAAAAATGGGAGGGGGGAATTTCCAATATTTCCTTCAATAAAGTTTATATATCCAGGCATATTTTTGACATGGGACAATGAAAACAAAGATGAGCGTTCAAATTAGAGAAGACTGAATTTTAATCCTGGGTATGCGACTTATCAGCTATAGTACTAACTAGTGAGTTTTCTTCTAATCACATAGTTTTTAATTGAGGTCAACAATGGTTTACAACACTGTATATGATTTAGGGGTACAGGTTCTCACTTACAGATACCACCACACCATATCTATCAGCAAAGCACATTTAACCATCCACCACAGTCCACTAGGTACCCCCCCCACCCCAGTTTCTGTCCTGCAGTCAGATTTCTAGGCTTTGTTTAGGTTTAGTTTTGTCTATTTCTTTTTGTTTCTCTGTATTCCATCTATGAGAGAAATTATCCTATATTTGTCTTTATCCTGACTTAGTTCACTTAGCATAATCCCCTCCAGTTCCATCCATGTTGTCCCAAATGGCAGGATTTCCTTTTTTATTTTAATAGCTAAGCCGCATTCCACAGTGTATCTCCCCTGCATCTTCTTAATCCACTCATCTGTATGAGGAACTTCAAGTTCACCTTCCTTAATCAAGTACCATCTTCCAAGGTAGGTCTTGTCCCCATTTTACAAGCAAGAAAATAGAAAAGGTCACATGTCTCAGCTAATACCACAAAACATAGCAGCCAACCTGGGATTTGACTGCCAGCAGAAATCCTCTGCCATGATGACTTGGTACTACCGAACCTAAAATCCCCAGATCCAGGGGCCACACAATGTGGTTCTTGGGGGTGAGGAGGATTAGGGAGGAGGCCAAGGATTAGATAAATTTGTGATATATCCTGTCAAAGGTACAAAGGGTATTTTATGAGACTGGAGGAGAGACACCTGCTCAAACTAGGGTGAGCGGGTACCTTTCCTCTGGGGCAGCTGGGGTTGTAGATAGGGACCTATAAGGATGGCTTTCTTGGGGGAACAAGGAATGGGAAGCAATGAGAAAGGAAAGGTTTGCTTTCAATGGACTACTAAGGAGTTTAGGCAATGAAAGTTTTAAGACATCAGATGTACATTTAAAAATTGCTCAAACATTTCAAAATAAGAAAGGACACAATTCCCTCATTACCATTCAACAAATAAAATGCTTCAAGCAAAAACCCTTCCCAAGAATATAAAATGTCCTCCTTACTATAGATCTCAGCAGCACTTTATCTTGGGAGCATGTAAAACAGACTTGAATATTAGCAGCACAGTTTGGAAACCATTCTTCTCGAAGACTTTTGTGTTTCATAATAGCCAAAGAAAGAATTAAACACACAACTGCAGTGAAAGTAGAGTTGTCTTTTCTTTTCTTTCTTCCTCTTCTTCTCTCTTTTTAAGAAAAGGTATCTGCTGTGCACATTCAGCTTCTCTTCGTTTCTAGGGGCAAGGAAATGCCCTATGATATTTTTTCTCCTGAAACTGTAAACCATTAGTTTAGCTGCCAGCTACATAAACGCTCAACTTCCCAGTGTGCCTGGCTGTGCTGCCCAAGCTTCTCCAGCATACACCAAAATGAATGTGTTTCTAATTAAGTAGCTTCAGGAACACAACAGCTTCAATGTCAAAAATACAAAGTCTGAACCCTGGCAGGAAGTCTTAGGACGGCAAATGTCTCATCCAGTGGAACCTTGCCTAATGTAATGAAAGGAAGCAGGAAGAGTGCAGAATTCCAGAAAAAATGGCCACTTATTAATGTGGCCAGAAGCACAACCTAACACACCAAGAAAGGAAAAACTCAAATCTGTAATATTTAACTAGAGCTTATCAACTTTTCCAGTTCCTACATTCAATCCTGCAATTGACCGATGACCCTGAGCTTTAATTAGAATTTCAAAACTGAAATCCCAACAAATGAATTAATGTACAGAAAAGGACATTCAAACAACTGTGAGAAAAAGGTGAAAGAGACTTATAGCAAGAGCCTCTGTATAATTTGACACAAGCTCTTATTTGAAAAAGAACTATTTTCTGGAATTTTAAATATGTAGGTTTTAATGCCCTGGAAGAGAGGAAAAAGGAGTCTCACGGAACTGACTGCTGATGCAGGATGGGCCAACGTGAGCCTCACTCTTCAGATGCCCTAGAGTAGGCTCTTTTTTTGTCAGTCCAATAATTTTATGATGGCCCATCATAGAAGTGTGGTTTCCCAGCCATGCTCTGTATTTAGAAAATGTTTAAAACACAGTTATTCTGAAATCACAGCAGCTCCATGTTTTGCATAAATGCAAATTTGGACAAATACCTTTTACACTGTCATCATTTGCTTATAAAGCCTCAAATACTTCCTTGAATCTACTGCACTTCTGTTCTGCAGATATATTAATTAAAAATTTCAAGTGGGAAGAGGCGGGAAAACAAATGGAGAGTCTCTTTAACCTGGTAATTGTGCGAATATGTAAACTGGTAATTCTAGGTGCCTTTTGAAGACAATTCCTCTTCCTCGTCTCAAAATACCTCAATAATTGTTGCAGCTACTGACTTGTTTTCTCTGGAAATCTTTTTTTTTTTTTTTTTTTGTCTTTTCATTATAAAGAGGACATTTGGTGGTGTTGGTGGTGGGAAACACCTGTGGTCACACCATCTTAACACAACTACCTTTGTCTTTACATTATTCTCCTTCAAAACTGGCCCGTGTATGTTTCATTGCTTTCTTGTTGGTTGCACTAACATTCCCATATTGTATTACAATCTTTGTGATCATTATTTTAAAGGCTGTGTAACAGTCCACCAAGTATGGATGAGCCATAATTTTTTTTAATTTATTTTATTTATACAAGAGCCAGCATACAGGTCAGATGTGCGAGAGGGTGAGAGGATTCACCAGAGACAGAGCAGGGAACAGGCAGAATGACCGAAATACAATGCTGAGGGGAGCAGCAGATGAGACAGGAGAGGTCTGCTGCACCATGTGGGTTGCTCCATGGCCAGCGGGGATCGAACAGGCACTGCAGAGGCTGCGGACAGCCTCACAGCGCTGCGCTCAACCGCCTGTGCCACCAGGGAGGCCCCTGGATGAGCCATAATTGACTGAACCTTATAGAGTTAGATATTTGAATGCTTCCAATGTTTCACTATGAGCTATTAAGTCAAAGGGCAGGATTATATCTTTTAATGTCTTTTATATATCTCAGTAGAGTTTTTTTAAAGGGCACTATCTATGCAGTGGAAATCAGGATTGTTGCCAGAATGAGAGACCTGTGAAGAGCCTTGCATGGGACCAGCAAGTGGCAGGTGCAGGAAGTGATGGTCATCATATCAGTTGGCTTCTCTGTGAGCTCTTGGCAAGCCTGGCTCCATTGGACCCATTCTCTGAGGGCCGAGGAATGGTTTCCTGCTCCTGCCCCGGTTCTGAAGGACATATGGCAAACCTGTGGTGAGGATGGTCGAAACCCCATCATGAATGAGAGGCTGGTGAGGCAGCTGGGGCATCTCTACACCTGGGCTCCTGGCACCGGCCTACCTCCTGAGCTCAGCAGACATGCTGTCACTTTCTTCTAAGGTCAACTTTTACCTCTGATTTTATGTACCACCAAGAGTGCAAAAGCCACACTATGATTCATCACTTTCTTAGCAGGTAGAGTGACAAATTTAAGAAAAAGTCACTCTTGGTCATATATGAAAGGGAAACTAAAACAAAATAAATTGGTTACGCTATTCCTATAAAAATTCCTCACATTCAGAGCCCTACTCATCTGAATCATTTTTCTGATTCAGATATCAAATGTCTGTGTTTCTCCAAGGGAATCTCAGTAACAAAACTTCACCTACTGGAAGCTATCTTTCTTTATTAGACCCTGGAAAGAACGTTTTGCTTTTCAAGAAAATATCGCTGCCTCTGCCTTCCCCTGACGGCCAAGGCACACAGGCCTTTCGGCATTCACAGTGAATTCACATTTCAATGCTGAATCTGAGTGTGATTCTGAAGATAGTTTCAATGGCAATTAGACACAACATGTGCAGAAGCAACACTACATATAATTAAAGTGGTGATAGTATGAATGGCTGTGACCGGGCTCATGCACAATCAGGTCATGCTGCT